GGGACTGACATGGCAGACAATAAAGGACTGCAGGGCCAAGAAGCTCTACCGGGGCGTCCTGCGTCAGGAGCAAGCGCGGCTACGCTCGGTGACTCCAGCTACGGCTCTGCCCGCCACCCCACATCTCTCCAGACAGCCCTCCAGCTCTCCGATCCCGGCCATGCCAAAGCAGCACGTGCCCACCACCAAGGCGCGTATCGAATCCGGAGTGCTTCGTCTATCCAACACCAAGCAGAGGGCTCAGCGAGGACAAGTACAGTCACCAACTTGTGCTTTACCACAAGAAAAACGCAGCGTGGGACAGAGGGGGCTTCCCGCTCAAGCCACAGCAGGGACCCTTCACCGCTTCGACCTCGGACACCTGCCACCCTTCCTGCAACAGCTCCACCATACAAGCCCGACAACCGCCCATGGACCGCCGACGACACGAGAGCGTTGGCTCTCTCGGAACTGCAGGCTCCGGCAGCCATGGTGTGCGACGAGGAGTTAGCCGCACTACTCCCAAGAACCTGGAAGAGTGTCGGGGACCACCGAAGATAGATGTGTACAAAGAGGCTTTGGCGAGGGAGAAAGCAAGATCCGAGCTAAGGAGGGTGCACGAAACACATCCCGAGTCCAGCTTCTGGGAAGAGGTCACTGCAACCCCGGTCCTCGAGGAACAGTCTCCCAACCGAGTCTCTCTCGACTCAACCCTGGTGGCGGACTTCCAGGTGGGCTGCGGGCACGAGTGGGGAGAGTACGGACGAACTGTTCACTACCCCTCTAAGAACTCCTCTGCCCCCCAGGCAGAGTGTCCCTGCTTCGGACTAACCACCAGTGTTGCCACTCCTACTGATTTTTCAGTAGATCTACTGAATTTTTCAAAATTCTGCTGATTCAGTGATAATTCCAGAAAATCTACTGATTTTCATCCTTTTTGCCAACACGTGGTCCAAAACTACTACTATTTGCTCCAAGGCGGTCCTTCGTGCAACTTCGGCGCACTTCGGTATGTGTCTGTGTAGGCGTTGTAAAAGGAAATGAGGGGGATGCGCACAGGTAACAACACAATGCAGGGGAAAGTTAAACCAAACGCGGTGGATCGGTGTACAAAATGGAAAAGGGAGAGGAAGGCTTGTCAAAGCTAGAGCGATGGCACGGTCGGCCATCTGAGAGGGCGCACCTCGCTTCGAGCCTTTCTAGGGAGCAGGGTGTACGATAGACAGGTGGCGAAACGGCCCGTAGAAGCCTACCGCAGCGCCGTGACCGGATTGTGTACTCGTCTGCTTGCGGGTACCCCCGATTTGCGACAGATAGCGCTGCGGCGAGAGGAAAAAAATCGGAATCAGATTTGCGTGGAACTCTATGGGAGAGTGCGCAAAATAAATTGAGATCACGACAGTCCTCCACTGAAAATCCACGAGAAACCATCTCCGTCAGTTTAGCCGGTCGCCACCGGTCGCCCACCTGGAGTGAGAGTTCGCGGTGCTCCACATAGATGGCGCCAGAGAAAAAGAGAAAACCAAGGGGGACACAATGCGGTCGCTCATTCGGCTCTCGTTTCCCCACCTGTCTATCTTCCACCCTGCTAGGGAGGCTCAAGTGAGGGTGGGTGCAACTGCTAGATCGGCGATCACGGGACATGGACGCCATTTAATTGCTAAATTTTGCTGGGAGTCTATGGGGCAAAGGGTCGTTTTCTTTCCCAACTCGGGTCATAAAAGCCCATTAAGGTGCTTGAATAATTTACACAAGGTATAAATGATTACTTTTCCATAGCCACCAGTTTTGTTGCGATACATCCACGCGCGGGGATGTTGCCATGTCGGGAGGAGATAAGGCTCCATCCACGCACTACGTCACTTCCGCCGCCCACGTCACTTTTTTGCGTGGACGGAAGCAGTTCTTTTTCCATCTTCTCTCCGTCCACGCAGCAATCAACCTACGGTCTTGTCTCCCATTGTTTTGCCTTGTGCTCGGTGGCCATTGCTCCTTGCGTTCCTGCCGTGCGCGGACTGCTGTTCCTGCATGGTCTTCCCCAAGCGGGTTTATCTGAAGTGTTGTTTTTATTATTTTTTTTTATTGTTTTCTTGGTCAAGAAAACTTTGTGTATTCACACGGTCGCGCTTCTGATATGCCTCCAGTTTTGGTTGCCGGGGATTCGATGGTGAAATACTTGTCCCAGTATTTCACATCGAATAACCGGGTGGCTGTCGAAGTGCGGGTGTTTAGTAACATTAGGATCAAGGCTCTGCTTCTCAAAGTGTCTGACGCCCTGCTCGATTTTTGGCACAAACAATACCAGCGTTTGTGCCAGCGCGTACGTTGACAAGTACCGTCGGCTGGCCGCTCAGATCTTGGAACGCAATCCAACGACGCAGATCGCTTTTTCTTCCAAGTTGGGAGAACAGGTTCTTTTCGGTTGTAGTGTAAGCGTAGGCAGAGTGCAGTGATCCAGGCGTAGAATGATCGGCACAGAGAAGTGAACTGGCTCCTGCAGGAGTTCTGCCGCAAGAAGGGCTTCGTGTTTATCGGTGATCTCGTGGACGAGTGGCATCTGTGCATCGGCTACTGTTTTATTTGTCATGAAATAAACTGTTTCTGGAATCTTTTAGCCAGTTTTCTCGATGGAATGCTCTCAATAGGTTTGTTATTACTGAGTCTAATGAAAAAACGGTTAAAGTACAGGCGAGCTGGTGGATATTTACCATGATGGAACTTAACCCGAGACTGGGGTAGAAACAGAAACTTAAAAGTAGAAGGGACAGAGACAAGTGAAGAGAACGTCTCAAACGCAGCTAAAAGATTTATTTAGTCCCACATCCTTATATACTCACAACCACAAGGTCACCCAAACACTCAACACAACAACATTTCAAAGACAACACACCAGGAAAAAAAAAAAATCCCAAAGACAACAATGCAAAGGGACGCCCCCTCAAGCAGTACTACGAACAGGGGCAAACCATCCACTTGTCCGGAAATCTAATGCATGCTTTCCCTTCTCGCACAATCTTTGTGAGATAGCGAGCGTGCGCGCAAGTCAAGAACATACGAAGCGTGCGCTCGCACTTGTCCCCTTCGATGCACATAAGCTCACACTACAACGCCTTAAACGTGTGGGCAGCGATGTGCACATGGGCGAAGGCCCCAGAGGCCGCAGCCGCGCCAAGCCAACCAAGCCCACACTAGAGCACTATATACGCCTCGCAAGTGGGCTCATTTTCGTCTTCTGCGCATGAGAAAGGAGGCGCGAAGGCGGGAGAGGAGGTTGATGACGATTCGGGCTAAGCTCCGCCCTCGCACATGTCGGGGAGACCGGGGGGTAAACAAACATCGGCGTCGGCCATGGCGGCCGTGCTGTAGCGGCGACCGCGAGTCTTTTGTTTATTGTAGCCCGGTTAAAATTTGCCGAGTCCACAAGATCGAGCAGCTTTGATGCCCCTTACGATTCCTCCGTCGTCTGCTAGAAGCATTTCGAAGATTCCAAGATGAAGACGACGAAGAGCATCAAAAGAAGGCGCTTGCCTAGCCTCGCGATTGAAACGCCGGTTGCGCCGGTCACTGCGAGACCGCCGCCCGATTGTACCGATAAGTTGCCTTTTATCTTGTTCTTCCTTTACGAACACAACAGATTTTGCCTTCTAGCAGGTCTTTAGAAATCTTGTGTGGCGGAGTCGATAGGCGCTATTAATCGAAAAACAGCCGAGAATGTGGTGTTTTCGCGATCCTCCGAAGCCCATTTTCGCAGGTGATATTTAGGAATTTCGACTCGAAACTGCACGGAGGCCGTATAAACTATGTTCCGTTTCATTTTAAATGCAATCGAAGTTAAATCTACATGGGCGAGTCCCGAGCTTTGATCATAGCTGCCATGTGCGATCTTGCAGTGCGTTCTCGCGTTTGTAATTTTCTCTTCGTTCGCACTTAGATGAGACGCAGTATAGTCATACATCGTATTTGGTATAGTAGTTTCAGTCTGCGGTTGTAATCATGGCACTGTAGAAAAGCACAGAGCTCAAAACTTACCACAAAAACGCGATCGTTTTTTTTTTTAACGGGATCGTTTTTTGTTTGTTTTTTTCTTTCAGGAATGAAGTTGGAATGGCTGTTACGTGTAATACAGTGAACCAACTCGGACAGTACAAATTTGCCGTTTCACATTACCCAGTATGAGTGAATTGCCAACGAAGTACCGATGCCGCCTTTCTGCAAAATGTGTTGCGCAGTGTATCTTCGAACCACATCGACGCTGTCAGTGTCTGACGTGTTTTTGTGTGTCGCTTGTCTCCTTTATCGTTCCCTTACCAAGATGAAAATTCGGATATCGTGCACTATCCAAGCCTAGCTAATGAGCGCCCCATGGAATTGACACGGGAGTAAACAATGGCTAACATGTACATATTTTTGTTTTGTTCGCTCAGCAGACTGGGACTGAGTGTGTAAGTGATAAACTTTCTAATATCATTTGTCATTTCTAGGTCCCAGATGGGCTGTTGACATCCAGAAACACTCCAACAGATGGTGGTCATACAGCGATTGTGAAGAATGTGAAGACAGTCCCATTTGGATCCAAATTCCTAGTCCACTCATTGATAATCTTTCCTTGTTGCATCAATGCCCAAGTATGCCAGGCACTGAGTGACTACTCGCATGTGTTAGTGATGGTGGCTTGCGAGGCTTCAGTATTGTCGCTGCAGATAGGGCTCACCCCCACACCAAAGCTGTTGGAGGTGTACCTTTCCATGGAATTGTTTGGTTGATCCCAATTTCCTAGAAACGCCAATATTCAGTTTGGTGTGCCTTGCGGCTGAAGTAGATTCATCAAGGAGGTCTCGTCTCTTTCCTGGGGGTAATACCATGTCAGCTGCTTTGCATGAGCCACTTGGAAACTGTTTGGACCGCTCTAAAGCACTTGTAATTGACCTTACCTGTTGTGTCCATGCTAATGCTGAAATGTAAAGTTCACTGAACCAAGTTTTACTAATGAACCAAAACAATCAGTGGAAAGGATGAATGGCTTTATTTGTTTTCTCGAAGTAAACACTGTTTCATACATAATACATGATGCTGGCAATGCTACTTTCATTAGCAGACAACTTAGTCTACACTCTGTTTCACGATAGCTTGGTGAACTGTGGAGGCTACGGCTCCTGCGACCCAGTAAGAATGTCGGAGCGAGGCACATGGCAGCATGTCACAGGAGCGTCCGTGTCACCGCGCCAAATGCAAGGACCACCCACCAGAACCGGCTGTCAAATGCTCAGAAACCAAACGAATTCGGATGGACGTCCACTGCAGCAACATTAAGGCCTGTTCACACATGCAGCGGAGCGCTACAAGCATAGCGCTGACCTCGCGCTAAGCGCGTGATGACGGGAGCGTTCACCAGCTTTGTATCGCACCGTCGAAACTGTTGCTCATGGCAGACAATAAGTAGCTGACGGCACGTGAGGAGCGCTTCGCTGCATGTGAGAACCGGCCTTTACCGTCCGCTAGAGTAGCGAGGTCTTCAGTAACACTTTTATGAGGCAACCACATGCTCAATTTGCCCATGAATCTGTGGCGGGTGCTAATGCTAGGGCGATGTTTTGAGCGGAAGTGGTCGATTCACGGCTACAATTGTTTGAACGTCGATCACAAGCCATATTTTTCTCAAAAGTGTTGATCTATATTAAGTGTCGTTAATAAGTAACATATGTCTTAGTCTTTCTTCAGTGTCATGTAGTGTTGCGGTTCGAAGAATCTGACGGCAACACTACTAAAAGAAGAAGAGAAAAAAAAAAAAAACCTAGAACTATGTTTTGTCGCAGATGGCGCTCTTGCTGTGGCGATAACGAGGACTCGACCGTGGAGTGTTGTCATGTGCCTGGCTCCGATGCTCTTATTGGGTCACAATGTTTGCCAAGTGACTGTGAAACGGAGTATAGTGTCTCACCTGTACACGCTATAAAACAAATGAGATGCCAGGTGTAGCCACTTTTGCAGCTGTAGCCCTTATATTATTGCTTGCTATGCTGTTTGGAAGAATACATAAAAAGATCAGCTTACAAAGCCAAGTCTAATTTTTTGCACTCTTGCATGTTACGAAAATAAAAGCATCACGCCTGAACACCAACATCTGTCTCTAAATTATTCCTTGCTGAAATTAAAAATAAATATACTGTGAATATGAACCAATACAATCTCAAACAGGTTTAAGAATGGATTCAATAAACAATTACTTCAATCTGCAAGCCTGAAATCAAGTATGCGTGTGCAATAAATACCCTGGTCTTTCGACTATCCCCGTTGACACTTGTTCTCGAAGGATAGGGACTTCGTCGATTTCACGGCACTTCAAGCATTGGTCAGGCAACATGCTCGTGTTTATAGTTTCGGCTGTGCTATAGGAATAACAAAGGAGAGTCGTGTATTGCCGAGTCAAAGCAGAACTCTCAGGTCTAAAAGACTTCTTAAAAATGCACTAAAGCTGGTTTTGACTTTATAATTACATGACTCGAACATAAACTACTCACTTCACCAAGTCTAAGGATTCACAAATAATCTGTGAACATGTATTCTGCTTTTATCTTCATTCACTTATGAAACTGGTTGCGTATATAAAATATCCAATCAATCTTCCACACCTCCCCATTGCGAAAAGGAAGATTGAGATTCGTTGGCTTTTTTTTCTTGCCAAAAAACAGAAAAAGAAAAGGAATAGGTTTCAATGTGCACATTACGTTGAAGTGGGACAGTTACGGAAACAAATTTTGCATCTTCAAAGTTCATGAAGTAGGCAGATTACTTTCAAGTCATAAGAGAATAAAGTCAGAAACAACTTCAGCTCGCCTTCAATCAGATTTTCCCTTTAATCCAGGGACGTTTCACCTTCATAAGGTCATCAGTAGCAATTGGCATCCATTTAGGACTCTGTAATGGTAGATGTACAAGCTTGACCTCAAAGTCGCAGTGCCCTTCTTTCATGTGCTTGCAGTGCGACCCCCTCGTGCACTTGGTCCCAGACGGTGAAGCTGGTGCTGGACAGGATATCGTCCCCTGTAAAAGAGTCGTCCCAGTAGTCAAACGATCCGGCTACACCCTGAGCAGCGTATTTGTCCTCCCATGCCATTACCAACTTAAAATCAGTGAAAGCCTATTTTGAAGCAACAGAATGCATAAATGAACATGTCTATTCCATTCCCTTCGTACCGAACACCTGCCAGAATCCAAGGGATGCAAATCAAAATAAATAACATTGCATTATTTGCTCTTTTGAGACTCGAACTTAAACCAACTCAAACACTACCACAATTTTAAAGCTGGGAACTTCGAGGACACCTCTCCATATACTGAGATTACATGCTTGTCCCACTCCTGGCTAGTCCTCATCCTGGCTTGTCCTCAGCAGGGTTGGCCAGCGTGTTCTCATACTCCTGGGTTTTTAGTCTTGGAAGTTAAAGCTTTGGTTTTTGTCATTACTTGGTTGCTAGTAGATGCTGGAGGAAGCTCGTACTGTTACTTTGAAACATCAAGTTTACAAATTGAGCACTAACCCATATTGATGGCCAGATACAGAAGCTAGATTTGTCATGTCAAGGAGGTTGTCATAAAACAGTGGGCACGGGACTGAAATTAGCGGCGGAGCAGGCAACCGAGGCGCATTCGGGAGTATCGAAGAAGACAAGGTGTGTGAGTTTTGCGCGAAAGCAGGATGATCGGCCAGAGATGTGAGAATGTGGCGTCGAGAGAACTTCAACCGGGCTGACTTCATGACTGTTATCTGAGCCACATTAACCAGAAGAGAAGAGAGCTTAACAAGTGAACGACGCACTACGGCCGAGGAGGTAATTGACCAGGTTATTTCACCCAAGCACCACAGTAGTCATTTCAACGACAAAAAAAAAACGTCCAAACATCAGCACAGCAATACCAGAAGCGTGCCGAGGAATCGGGTTGTGTGTATATTTATACAGTCTCAAACTCGATCTGCCTCGATGGGCGGTGACTCTCCCAGCTGTAGATGACCGCTAGCCTGGGGCCCTTAACGTGCATCACGTAGTAGTGATACACGACCGCACGCCGGTACAATGCTCATCCAGATCGAAACGGGCAAATGTGGGGCTTGAACACACAATCCTGGGTTCTGCAGCGCGAGCTTTCACTCCACATTCTCCGAGCTGGTGCGTGGAAGCCCTCTCGGCCACCAATCCCCCGGTGCCAAGGAATAACATATAATAAATGACAACGGTACAGTCGTCTGCAACAGGTAGCTTTTCAGTGCCTTGAGCAACCAGGTTGAGATAATGTGACACTTTCCTGCCATATGTGGCTTGCAAAATAGAGATGTATAAGTCATAAAGCGAGTAATATGAATTTTTTTTTACTAAAGATATCAGCATTTGTATTTGGCTTCCACAACTTCTGAAAGCTACCTCTGAGTGCATAGATTGGTTTCTTCATAATCTTACCTATATGGAGAACTTCCCAGCTGGTAACGGGGCCGTGAAACGCAGACCCCCTGGAAGTCGCACAGGCGCCGAGGGCATTACACGGGGCCTGCAACATGTCCTCCGAGCCCGGCAGCCGGTGGATTCTGTTGGAATGATGGGGTAGGGGGAACACAAGCACTTGCAGATTAACGGACCTAAGAAAACCAGTAGGCAGGTACGAAAACATGCTACTCGCCCCCGCAGCGTTTGCCTCACTGGCGCTTTATGGTGAAACAAATCAGCGGCGAGCGACTGATGGAACACGCATCAGAAGAACAATGCGTCTTGAGTGGAACACCTTAGGACGGCGCTTTATAGCGCGCGTGAAGCGTTGGCTTAGCCAGGTTTTTTTGGAGTCCATGTCACATGAGCGAATGACATTTTAGTGAACAGCGACATTTGAGCGAATGGACGTTTTAGCGAATAACGGGGGCGCGCGTTAACCCATCCGCCGCGCTGCGCTTTCGCCGCTTCGCGGCGACAGTCTGCGGCGGATCATAACAAAAATGTGAACTCATTTGGCCCACCCGAAAACGCCGCTTTGCGGCGTCCGACTATTCGCTAAAGTGTCATTCGATGAAACGTGGGCGTTCGCTAAAACGTCATTCGATCAAGAGAGTGCCTCCCATCTGTCGCTGGGGGGAAAGACTAAAAACAGACGACTGCGCACTCGGCTCGGTCGTACCACACCGATCGCCTAATCCGCTGCTTTTCCGTAACATTCCGTTTTACTTTGCTATACTCCTTTCACGTGCAACTGAACTGTTTGTGAATGATGCGAAGTGTACAGAGACGACGTAACTCACCTTAGCGAGCGCCATGGGGCGGTTCTCCGGGTGCCAGCGCTGCGGGAGATAAGTCATAAAGCGAGTAATATGAATTTTTTTTTACTAAAGATATCAGCATTTGTATTTGGCTTCCACAACTTCTGAAAGCTACCTCTGAGTGCATAGATTGGTTTCTTCATAATCTTACCTATATGGAGAACTTCCCAGCTGGTAACGGGGCCGTGAAACGCAGACCCCCTGGAAGTCGCACAGGCGCCGAGGGCATTACACGGGGCCTGCAACATGTCCTCCGAGCCCGGCAGCCGGTGGATTCTGTTGGAATGATGGGGTAGGGGGAACACAAGCACTTGCAGATTAACGGACCTAAGAAAACCAGTAGGCAGGTACGAAAACATGCTACTCGCCCCCGCAGCGTTTGCCTCACTGGCGCTTTATGGTGAAACAAATCAGCGGCGAGCGACTGATGGAACACGCATCAGAAGAACAATGCGTCTTGAGTGGAACACCTTAGGACGGCGCTTTATAGCGCGCGTGAAGCGTTGGCTTAGCCAGGTTTTTTTGGAGTCCATGTCACATGAGCGAATGACATTTTAGTGAACAGCGACATTTGAGCGAATGGACGTTTTAGCGAATAACGGGGGCGCGCGTTAACCCATCCGCCGCGCTGCGCTTTCGCCGCTTCGCGGCGACAGTCTGCGGCGGATCATAACAAAAATGTGAACTCATTTGGCCCACCCGAAAACGCCGCTTTGCGGCGTCCGACTATTCGCTAAAGTGTCATTCGATGAAACGTGGGCGTTCGCTAAAACGTCATTCGATCAAGAGAGTGCCTCCCATCTGTCGCTGGGGGGAAAGACTAAAAACAGACGACTGCGCACTCGGCTCGGTCGTACCACACCGATCGCCTAATCCGCTGCTTTTCCGTAACATTCCGTTTTACTTTGCTATACTCCTTTCACGTGCAACTGAACTGTTTGTGAATGATGCGAAGTGTACAGAGACGACGTAACTCACCTTAGCGAGCGCCATGGGGCGGTTCTCCGGGTGCCAGCGCTGCGGGAGATCGGCCTTCGAAAGCTCGGCAGCCCGTTCAGCTCGCCGAAGAGGGCTGTAGCTACACTTCGATGCTTCACGGAGACACCGAGTCACTTGCTGGCGAAAAAGGGTCTCCGCCAAAAAGTAGAAAGGCTCACTCGCGTCGCACATCACCGTGCTGACGTTGGGGGGACTCACATCAACATCCGACCGCCGGAGACCGGGACGCATATTGGTGCTTCGTATGCTCCCAGGGTAAATTCTTTCGCGTCAAACGAAGTAACGTACATTTCGAGGTATTTCCGGTCTCTTTTTTCCGTATGCCGCGTCCTCGTTCAAGCAGTAGCAGTGGATTTCTAAGAGCCACAGAAAAGGCCTTCCGCAATGGCTGCGGAGAAGAGACGACACCGCTTTGTTTACCCCCGAGCTCCCGCCCGGAGCCATCCTCCAATCAGAGCGCGGCGAGGTGACGTCACGCCACCGGCCTGCGCGAAAGAGCAGACGGCTTTCCCTCCGTATAGACCTTTTCATTTCAATAGTTGCCTGACCGGCGGGTAGAGGGCGCTGGCGCACTCGGCGCCATTAGGTTGCTTCAATTCGGTTTCAACGTGCACGCGAAGGTGATGCTGTTTCATGCCACTTTCGATGAATTTTGCGATACGAATTTCTTTCTTGTAGCACACAGCGAATGAAACAATAGTATTGAGCCACTTGGCAAACCACGAAGTGGTTTCGAGCCTAATTTGCGATCTTTTCTTACTAACACTATATGCGTCTGATTCCATCCATCATTAATTTCGGCCCGGTTCGGCGGTGAAACTATAGTGCGTTGATGCACAGTGAAAAGTACCGTTGTCCACGGTCGTACTCGCGGACACTAATTTCAAGAAGAAAAAAAAAATAAAGAGCAGGACAAGCTCCCCCTGCAGGTGCGCTCGTTGCCTGCAGCCGTGCCTTGTCTGTGCGTGGACCGAGCGGTACGGAAGGTAGATAGCTCGCGCTCGAGTCAGATATTGAGCTGATCATCTTATATTGCATCAGTTCTTAGTGAAAAATCAGGTCGACAACATGATTAACAATCTGCTGAATCATCAAGAACAGATGAACTGACAAGTTTACTGTTCGATGTTTGGTTTCCGTACACCAAACTTTTCTAACTTCGAGACTGGAAACGTTTTTTATAATAACTAGGAAAGTTTAATATAATCGCGTAGATAATATAAAAAAGTGATATTGTCTCGGCCTGTTCTATTTAAACAAATTAAGTGCTGGAGAAATATTTTGATAGACCAGCCTAGGCTGACTAGAAAATTTCTTTGCCTAAAGTACTCATTTACAGCATTTCAAAATATTGGCCTTATTAAATAAACTTTTTGTTATATGGACATTTGCTTACGACGTTCTCAAGGTATGAGAATAGCAAGATAAGTGAATGCCAGATTTCAAATAAAGTCTGATATTCATCTTCCGTAAAATTTGCCGAATGAAATTGAAGAGCGCAAAAGAAATGATCTCCGATAAGTTTGTGTGAAGTCGAACGCCAGGCACCACCCAATGAACCTGTGTAGAAAGCTGTTCACTGATTTGAAACGATGCGCTTTGCACATTTGGACGCCGCCATGTACTGAAAGTAACTCCCTATTCGAAGTCGACAACCGGCTGCACTCGGGTGATTTTCATACAGAAGGATTCTTTTCGGCGTCACATTTTGTGAATCATAGGCACTGTCAAGCTGTCTGTGACAGTTTCTTACGCGGGGAGTCAAAATATCTGTGTTAAAATAGATTAATTGAAACTGCATGATTATATTATAAAATGAATTAAGCAACTGAAAGACTATGGACATGGGACCAAGCACGATATACAATTCCGTGGAATTCACAAATAAACCGATAAAGCGAATGCTTATATCACACACGCGATTAAGAACGTAAAACAGATATAGGTGTGATATTGCGAACAAACAAGTTGCCTAATGTTAAGGTACCATTATTCCTAGCATAAAAAAATAATTCGAACTAAACGTTTCTTGCCACGTCTTGTCCACAAGTTCCCTAGTATTATCAAGAGAAACTGCTCTCGATCTGTTGTAACTACAAAACACCATGCTTTCAGGAAAAACACGTGGCTAATTTCGCCGAGTGTTTTTGTTTCCTTCCTTGCAACCCATGCGCACTCATATATGTAATTACATTGGGCTTCCTATTCCAAATGTTCCGCCCTTATTAGTAACCAGACCTCAGTTCTCATAAGTTATTGGTATTTGAACCCTCGAGGCTTTCTTCGAGACAGATATGTATTCAACGTACGGAAGTGCTAACGCTGATTCCTGTTCCTATAAAACCTTTTCACACGTATTCCGCACGCCGACGGTAAAAAATATTCAAAACGTGTTACAAAATCAACTACAGAAGTTGCGCGCATAATGGTGTAATGCAATTGCATGGTAAGTATAAGTATCGGACAACACTTTACGAAGTAAGGCAAGAGACGCGGTAAAACACGACGAAAAACACGGGTTTAACGCATCCGCCAAGGCGCGGACGGGAGAGCGGAGCAACAAGTTGAAGCAACCTAATGGCGGCAGCATCACGTGATTCCAAGATGGCAGCGCCCATGCGGCGGAGGGTGAAAAGGTCTATAGACCTTTTTCGCTTACTCTCGCCCCCGACCGCCAAGAAGGCATATCCGGTATGGGCGACGAAAAAAATATCAGAAAGTTTCAACCTGCAAATGGTAAAAAAATAAAGTGGAGGCAAAACGAGAATCTGTGACAGTTACCTTTATGTCCTAAATTCCTTCTATTGGCGTGGCAACGGCAAAACAATGTTTTCGCCCATACTGGAAGTGACGACAATTCAAGATGGCGGCGCGCTTGCGGAAAAGGTCTATAGCTCCTACGGAGCAGAGTAACGCAATCCTTTGAACCCCGTGTTTTGCCGACAACATGGCCGACAGAGCGGCTCGGCGCGAGTCACGTGGTACTCAGGGTTCCAGGAGGCGACCCGCCCTATGGGAGAATACATGGAGATCGACACAACACGGCTGATTAAAAAATGAACGGCGAGTTCACACTTTTCAAAACTAGTCTGTCGTGAAGTTAGTAAAGCACTAAACACTTTATCAAAGTTTTAACAATATCGGATGCGTGTGCAAATTTTGAGAAGGCAATTTCCAAGGCAATGGCGTTTGAAGCAGACGATTTTTGCTCGCAGCGGAGATGGGCTTTTCGGGTTGGCCGGAGCGGGTCACGTGAATGGTGTGACGTCGCCGTGTCGTCTGCTGCATGATGCCGCTCAGGCAATTTTTTAAAAAAAAGTCAGGTCCTTGCGGGGCACAAAACTTAGCGCAAATTATTCTAAAGTGTTCCATTATTATGTCAAAAATGATTGCGATTCCGTACATTCCCACAATACTGGAGAAACAACGATTTTCTCACGTTCTCCATGCATTTCTGACCGCAGTTGGAACCTCCGGGCGTTCGCCGCTAGTCGCCGAGAGGCGGCGTTCTAGATTGCGCTACTCTGCTCCGAAGGAGCTATATAGTGCTCTAGCCCACACCACATTGCTGCAGGCTGCACGCCCACACGCACGGATGGCACGCACGCTGCCCACACGTGTGTGTAACTCCTGGACAACGTAAATATAAAGACATCTACGGATAATATTTTTATGACGCATGATATTTCCTATCTGTGTTAGAAAACAGTGAAACATTGATAAATTGCCCAAGAATTTGTAAGGTCACGTGATATATTAACTTTAAAACAATAAAATGTAACCTATTTATTTCTAGATCCTATATTTACTTGTAAGAAAGCATAATATGTATATAAAAACAAATTATGTCCTTAAATTATAAGTCACGTGACCTTTTGCGTGGATGGAGCCTTATCTCCTCCCGACTTGGCAACGTCCCCGCGAGTGGATGTAGTTCCAGCCATTTTCTCACCGCGAAAAATGGTAAATTCCGCCATCTTGGACGTTGCTGCTTGTCTGGCAACTTTGCTTTCTCCTCTCGACGTTTGCAATTCTCGGAGCGAGAAGGAAGCG